AGGGTGAGGAGCAGGCCTGAGGAGCACGGCACAGGGAGCTGTCGTCCCTCTACACAGCAGTCTCATGGTAGATGGCACTTGTCTTTTGTGACATGCGTGCAGCCAGTGGTTCCGGTGACAGCAGGCAGGCAGAAGAGAGATGTGCCCTCGTGTCTTCTGACCTGAGGAGGGCCGACTGGGATCCCCGGGTCAGCGCAGTGGACGTGGAGTTGAGAGCCTCAGGTGTCCTCTGGTGTGGCCTGCCTGGCGCACTCCTCAGGCGCACGGTGAACCCGGCAGTGGAAGCCGCGGTGCGAGGAGCACGGGGACTCGGGATAGCGGGGCCGCTGAGCAGGGGCCTGCCTGGCTCGGTTCTGGGCAGGGGAAGGTGGATGGTGCACACACAGAATCAGGCTGCAGTACAGGACTTGCTGGACAGGAAGGTGCCAACGCGCACCCTGAGCTAGGCTCTACCGGCTCCAGAGCAGCACCAAAGGCTGGCGCCATCGATGCCCAGACCTGGGCCCGGTACAGCTTCCACAGTTGGCAGGTCTTGTGCAAGTGAAGCCGCTCCTCGGCCTGTGTTCCCGATCTGAGGAGCAGCAAGGTGAGCCGTGCAGCCAGCTTTCTTCCAGGAAGATTTAGGGGTGACTTCCATCCCCTCCACCGTCAGCCCGGGTGCTGTTCTCGGATGTTGGTGTGCCCCTCCTGTACACCGAGCTCTGTGTGCCTGGGCCCATGTCTTGGCTGTGCCCACCGTCTGCCAGCTTCTGCATGTCGCAGCGCACTCATGATTGAACAATGGGGCGTGTTCTCAGGGTTCAAACCCAGTGTGTCCAAGCCCACACTCGTTTGTCTAAGTGTGCTCCAGGGAGTGAGAGAGGCTGAGGCTGCGGACTTGTTTCTTGGGTCACCCCTGAATCCTATCCTAACCCGTCAGCCTGCACCTGTTTCTAAGGTGACACTGTGACTCTGTTCCATGAACTACTTAAGTACACATGCCTGTTACCTTTTGAAACAAATGAAGACAGGCCACTCCTGGGTTAATATGCTTGGTGTGGTCACTGGGCTTAGGGCTTCGCAGTGGCCAGCTCATCAGCAGGAAACGCAGACTGAGCAAGTGCTGTGACCATGCTGGAGTGGGCAAGCTGTGGGCTAGACAACCAGACAGGCTGTCCTAAGATCCGTGACCAACTCAGACATGAGCTCTTTAAGTCAGTGACTGGGAGGTCAGGAGCCCACCATGTCCCCGTGGGAGCCCGGGCACCTTCCTCAGTGCCTCTGCAGCCAGTCCACCACGTACCCTCCTCCTGACAGCAAATTCTGACAGGATGGTTCAGAGGGTGACAGCAGACTGACCAGGCTTTGCCACGGTGTACTGCCATGGTCCTGCACAGACCTGTGTGTGGCCAACACTCTGACCCTGAGGCCACAGGCGTGGGCACCTCAGAGCCCACCAGTGAGAGCTGGAGGCCCAGGAGCTGTGTGAGCCAGAGTCCAAACACACAGCGGCAGGCACGGGTATGTGCCCACGCGATGGCCACACCTGGGCGCACCTGTGTGTGCACAGGTACTTGTGAGCAGGCAGAGGCTCTCATGTTGACACATCCCATGTGCGTTTACACAAGTGTCACTGCGAAATGTTGCTGGAAGGAACCCTTCCTGGAACCCCGCTCCCGACGAGCACTGTGTGCCTGACTGTTGCCATGGCAGGAAGCCCAGGCGTCACACCGTCCAGATGGCCCATGGCCCTGGGAGGACAGTGCCTGGTCATCCAGGCAGAGCCCAGGGCAAGGCCACAGCTGACCCTGAGCCCGGCTTCCCAGGGGCTAGCTGCATAAAATGCCACTCAGCTCCCTGCACCTCTGCAGCCCAGCTGTGCAGGGGCAGTGCCCCGTGGCACAGGCTGTCCCCGGCACAGGACGGCAGCACTGTGAACAATGAAAGCCCACGGCCCGAGGGGCTCCCAGTGGAAAGTGAAGGTGCTGCTTTGGGCAAAATTGACCAGGGTGACCCAGTGTGAGGCCGTGCAGCAGTGGCTTCGCTCGGCCCATGGAGGACCAGGAGGCAGACAGAGCTTTGTGGACGGTGGGGTACTTCCCACCAGACCCACCTTGGGAGAGGGCCAAGTCACTGCAGCCTCCCGATGCTGATGAGGCCCCTGAGCCCAGAGCTCAGCCACAGGGAAGCCGAGGCCCATCTCACCAGCGGCCTGAGCTCCTGCCTGTGGGGAGGGCCATGTCCTTTATCACCAGGTTTCTACAAAAAGTGGAGGTTGGTCCCAAGGTTATTGGCACAAGATGCTGGGCTCTGAACAGTGGCACTTGAGGAAAACGAGTGTCTCAGGTGGGTGAGCCACGTGGGTGGTGAAGAGCTTTGCAGCTGCGCGGGCACCATGAAGCCACATCAGAGCCATAGTAAAGCATGACTTTGTTTCTCTCTTTGCAGAGGAAGAAGGAGGAGACCTGGTCCAGCCGGGCCTCAGCTTCCCAGGGCCAGCGGAGGAAGACCTAGGTATTGTACAGACGCCGGCACTGTTCACACTGGGACCACACAGCGCCTGCGCGCTGCAGCACACCCGTCAGTGGGACCTTGCCCCCGAAAGTGTTAAGCAAGTTTGCCTTAGAGATGGTCCTCGTAGGAGCCAAATTAATGGTGCCAAGTTTTTTTAATTTCAAACATAGTCGTTCGAACACCTTGCAGGAGTTCTTGGAGAGAGAAGGTCATCCCAGACCCTGGAGGCAGAGGAGGCTGCCGTGGGAGAAGTGTGGCCCTCCGTGAGGAGCAGCTGTCCCCTCCTGTGATGGGCACCTTCTGTCAGAGGGCCCTAGCGCTGCACTGCTCCGCCCAGCTCTGTGATTGTGGGGCAGAGTCCTCTCCTCCCCTCCACCCACACACTAGTCTGCAGGCTGCCTCCGGAGGAGGCTCCGAATGCTGCACCAGGGCTGCTCATGGAATTGCCTTCTGGGGCCCCAGACACAGGGGCTGGTGCCAGGTGGCCATCAGTCTCCTGACGTGGAGTTGTGCACAGGTGAAAAGGAGCAAATGCTTATGCTAGAGGCGTGGAGTGTGGATAAATCCAGAAAGGAAACCTATGGTGGCTCTGGGTTCTTGACCTCCGTAGTGCAGCTGCTCAGAAGCCTGCAGGTCCTCTGTGTCCTTTCCTGGCCCCTGATAGCCAAGGCTGTTGCTGCCCAGGGGCCAGGTCAGGGGTGCGCTGTTCAACTCTGAATCTGAGCTCTTCCTGGTTTATTTCAGACCCTCAGTCACTGGATCTGCTGCTGGTTTGAGTGGTGCCGAGTTGTAGTGAGCACTGAAGGCTCTCTTTCTGTACAGCCAGGGTGCTTTGTAAAGAAAACCACAGCCCCCAAACGTTTTCTTCTCAATTTAAAGTACGAGAACAGGTGGTGTTGGAAAACACAGCAGCACCTTCCCACAGAGAACCAGGTATGAAATATCTGGCCTGACACCCCAAGCAGGCCTTTCTCCCTGGAAATATGACTGTGGCAGAGTCTCCCTTCTTTCTGAGCTGAGTTACATCCATTGAGCTGAAGGACCATACTGTCCACCTCTCACCCCTGCAGGACACTTGGGCTGCACCACTTGCCAGCTACTATGGAGGGAGCTACAGTGGACATGCGCTTTCTTCTCTTGGGAAAACTAGAAGTACTTTGGCCTCCTGTTAGAGAGAGTGGCAGCCATTTTATTTGAGTGGTCATGTACCTCTTTATGTCCCTCAGCATAACTCTCCACAGTGACTGTGGCTCCAGGCAGGCCTCAGGCTCCCAAGAGAGCATGGAAGCACTTTGACTTTTGTTAACTGAGGTGTGGGTACACTTATGTCATTGTGTTTGGTGATGGAAAGAGTTATGCACAAGAGTGGCTGTGATGCTGCTCATCTTTGTGTCTGATTTGATGAGGGAGCTGCAGAGCAGCCCTGGAGCATGCAGAGCAGGAGGGGACATGCATAGGAGGAGGAGGGCATGCAGAGCAGGAGGAGAGCATGGAGAGCAGGAGGGGAGCATGGAGAGCAGGAGGGGAGTATGGAAATCAGGAGGGGAGCATGGAGAGCAGGAGGGGAGCATGGA